GTTGACCAGCCAGCCCTCTGCTGCTAGTGTGGACTTTCCTCCTCCTCTTCCCTGAAGGATTCTAGTTGCCTGTCCAAAAGCTACTGCTCATGCAGCCTCCTAGAGTGCAATGGCGAAGGGTCTGCAGGGCTTCTCACGGACCATGTTGCTGCTGTTCTGCACCATCCAGGAGCTGGGGACCTGGGCTGTGCGCACTGCGGTGGAGGGCCCTGGCCTAGGGCAGCCAGAGGACCCTGCGCTACTGGCCAGCGGGCGAGTGAAGCGTGGCTGGGTCTGGAATCAGTTCTTTGTGGTGGAGGAGTACACGGGCACAGAGCCGCTGTATGTGGGCAAGGTAAGGTAACCTTGTGTCTCCATAGGGCTGACCAGATCGGTCGCAGAGCTGGGCATGCTGGCAGCACAGTCAAGGCTGGGAGAGAGCCTTCATGAAGGTTGCTCCTGAGGGTTTGGAGTACTCTGTGGCATGGGATAGCAGGAGCCTGGTCCCTGATGGAGGGTGGTGAGGTTAATGTGCTCCCAGAGATGCTAGAGCAGGAGCACACCAAAATTCACCGCTGCATTCTTCCAGTGATGTGCTGGGTTTGGGGCTGGTCCAAGAAGGGGTGCAGCTCTGGGTATTATGGGGGCAGTGGGGAAGGCTCAGCTCCATCTCTGTGGGAGGAGCTGCTGGACTGGAGCAGATGCGCACACTGAGCTCAGCAGCCATCTGCGCGTGCTAGTCTTGGGGGCAGAAGTGCTGCTGTACCACCAAGGGTCTTCCTGTGCCAGCAGTTGCTGACGTAGCTGCAACCTTGGCTTTCTGAAGATGGTTGGTTCCTGGTCCTGTAGCCCTTTCAGCGTGGAGCTAATGCGCTGAGTTTTGTTTTGTGGCCTCTCCCTGTGGCTGCCTCTTGGTCCTGGAAGGACTGTGCAGGCTATAGCAGCTGTTTCCCAGCTAATTATGTCTGCAGACCGGGGCTGGCAGAGAAAGTAGATGCCCTACTCTGGGTGTGGTATGGATCCTGCTCTTGTTTGTGGCCACAGTGAGGTTGTTGCAGGATATATGTACTTCAGGCTGGCCTGCCCAGCGTAGTGTGGAAGGTCCTTGGATGTGCAGGGCTTGGAGGGACCCTGAGGCACAGCACTGGTGATGGAGCTTTCCTGGGGCTTGCAGGAGCTATGCCCACCTGTGCTGCAGGCACTCCTGGGTGCCGACGGGGAGCTGCGCTGAGTTCCTGTGCTGCTCCCAGGGCCAGGTCCTGGCTGGGCTTTGCACAGGCAGTGGCACCGATGAACTTCCAGGGAGAGGCACTGGGAGGTTTTGGGCTGTGTAACCAGTGCATCCCTGCTCTGCTGTGAGAAGGTGTGAGTGCAGTCACTGGAGCAAGTTGGTCTCCCTGTGCTGGGAAAGCTCTGATCTCACAGGTGGACTCCCTTCTGTGCAAGGGGGTGGCTGTTCATGCTATTCTGGCTCTTGCTGTTGCTTGCACGCCGTGTGGAGAGGAGTGCAGGCAGACCTGGAGCTGCTCGTGGGTAAGGGTCTTGCTGGGCAGGACTGGGTCTGTCCTTGGGGACTTGCTGCTCCACTGGTGGAAGAACCTGCTGGGGCATGGCAGGGCTGGACATGAACCTCTGCTCCCTCTCCTCTTGGTGTCCTGAGACTGAAGGAGCATTTTGCCTTGGGGTTGCTTGGCTTTGTCCTTTCCTGGGAGCTGTGGAGAAACTGCCCTGTGGCTCCCACATGTCGGGAGGATGTGCTACTTGTACCGTGATGAAGGCAGTGCTAGCTGTTGGGACGGGTCAGAGGAGCGTCTGTAAGCAGCTAGAGCTGCCCCTGGGGGTGCAGGGTCCCTTCTCAAAGGAAAGTGTCCAAGAGCTCCTGCAGCAGAGCTGCCTGATGGCCTCAGCGGTCTGGCCGTGAGTTGGGAGGAGGCTTGAAAATGGGCTTCCTGGCTTGGGGCCAGCTGGGATTTCAGTGGTGATTTGTGTCCGTTTCAGCAGACACTCGAAAGCTGCACTCCTCCGCCACCATGCTCAGTGCAGTTACAGCTAATTCACAGCTCCCCTGGGAAGTGACTGGGAGCATCAGGCCCTGTCAAACTCCAGAGGTAGCCTAGCAACCGCCTCATCTCCAAAACCAACCCAGGAACCTACAACTAACCCGTTTTACAGCCCCTTTCCACATCATTCACTGCCATCGCCCACCCTGCTCCCAGCCCGCACTGAAAACCATTCCCTGTCAATGTTACTCCCGGGAGATGGGGCTGGGCTTTTTCCTGGGACTGGGATAACCTGGGGTGCTTGCGTGGAGCAGCCAGTGCTGGGGTGACCCCAGCTTCCCGGGGTGTACCCACCCTCCTGCCCAGCCCGTGGGTCTGGGAGCCTTCCCCCACGGGGACCCTGTGCTGCAGCCGGGGCTTGCCCTCTTGCGCACCTACGTGTGCTTTTCGAAGGGCCGATACCATTTCCATAAAATCTAGGTTCTCTAGTTAATCCTCCTTCTGAACTGTAATTTCCCCTGAGGCTGCTGTCAGTTTGATGTGGATTTCTCTGGGTTTTTTAAATAGAATTATGGGGTCAGCACTAGTTACAAACTTCTGCATGTGGACAGATCTATTTTAGATAGAGAGGATTAAAGGGAAAAAAGCAGATTTAATTAAGTTGCTAATATTTAAAGAAAATTGATGAACTCAAGCTTCATGAGTTGGAGCAAACAGAGTGTGCCTTTATTATGGGCTAGTTTTTATTTGATTTTCTTTCTTCTCCACACCCAGAGCAATTTTTTATTTGTGTATCTGTGCTTTTTGTTTAAATGCTTTTAATAAGAAATATGCACCTCTTCACATTTAATTTTGATTTAATTATTAGTAAGCAATTAATGGGTTTGTAAAATTCCTGACTGTAGCCTTTTAGGACAAGGAAACTATTTTCCTCTTTAGCAAACTGAACAGAGCAGCCTTTTGCCCACCTTGTCGACAGCCTCGGCTGCTGGGACCCCTTGTCTGTGACTGGAGGTGGGGTTCCCCTGCTCTGGGGCTGCATCATGCCAGAGCTGCCCATCCTCTCCCGACGGTTGTGTTCGGTGGGACAGGGGTCCCCAAGGCTGTGTGGGAGCTCGGTGCTTCCCGAGCCTCCACGCTGTAACAGTGAGGCCGGTCAGGAGAAAGCATCCCTGGGATGTGGTCTGGGCCTGTGCCATCTCCCCTCCGATGTCTGTGCTCGTTATCCCACCCTCCCCCATTAGTTGTTGTTTAGCCAAGCAGCACAGATTTAGCTCTTTTAATCTTCCCTTGTAAATCAGTCTCTGCAGCCCCTTGAGCCCAGGCTCCATTTTTCTTCCTGGTGTTCCAGTTTGCAGGGATGCTGGTGTCTGTGATGAGCAAGTATGTAAAGAGGATGTGCTGAGAGCTCAGCGTAGCGCTAGGAAGAGGTGCTGGGTGGCCCATCTCTGGCCTAATTATTAACTGTGAGCGTAATGTTCAGCAAAAAAATTCTGTTACCTGTGCTGTACAGACAAGGTGCAGCTTTTTCTTTCTGAAAACTTTGATCTCTAATGGAGTAGAAGTGAACACTTGGGAGAGGCTGATGATGGGGAGTGGGCAGCTGGTGGGGTTGGCTGGGATGGGGTGGTCCTGTGGACCAGACCAGACCATCCCTGCAGACTCTGCCCCAGCAGGTTGACAGCCAGGCCACCACAGTGGCCACCAAGCCCCGTGTGCGGGCTGAGCGAAGGTCTCCCTCCCAAGGGAGCCTTGCAAGACATTTCAACATGGACAGTAATATGTGAATGTTGTGTAAAAGGCATTGAATTTTCTAATGCCTGGGTCCCTCACTCATGAAATAAATATATAAACTGTATCTAACAAGACAAATATAATGAAGGTGTCATAAAAAAAAGGCAACTCTGGTATAAATTCTTGCTGGTAGAGCTGTATGTCTGAAAGGTGGATTATAGAACTGCAGTTTGGAAGATTGAATGGCCCATAAACATTTTCATATTTCATTAGCCGATTAATGGATGGCTTTTTTTTTTATATATTTGGGGGGGGCATGAATTTGCTGATTCTAGGCAGAAATTATAGGAAGCAAACGAAAGCAGCTGATAAAACCTTTCCAGGGGCCTGTCCTGTTATGGATTGTCCCAATTAATGCCCATGCTGCTCTCTGTCAAGATGTATTCTGCATGTCCAGTTACTGTTAATAGATTTCTCATAAGTGGCTGGATTGTAAAAACCTCATAACTCAATTTAATGCCACCAATAAAATTATCTCTGGACGTCTGGCCTGGATTCCAGTCAGCCCCTGGTCTGTGGGGAGCTGCTGTTTACCCTTTCTTCTCCTAATTTCAAACATTGTCTTAACTGGAAAATGAAGCAGGCATTGGCTACAGAAGCATGTTCCACAGGGTCTGTTTTTCATCCTGAACACTTGCCTGATTTGTCACATTCCCTTGCAGACTTTCTTCAGGTGAGGGCTCTGGGCGTGCTGATGTGATGGGTTGGTCCCGGTGCCTTTGCCACATAAACCCGACGCAGATGCGCAGCGAGCGTGTGAGCTCTCGTGCAGGGAGACTTGTCGGCACCAGCTGCCCCAAAAATGGAGAGGGGCTGGGGCAGAGCCAGCAGCTGAAGGCGAGCTTTGGGCAGCTGGCTGGGTAGATGGGGACTGATGCTGGTGGTGAGCTGCCTTTACACCCCGGTCTGCTGTGCAGAGAGAAGCGATCCCACACTGCTAGGGTCCTGGGTCCTTGTCCACAGGGAAGTCTTTCGTTTTGGAGTGCTGCTGTTGAGTTGTCCTTCCGTTTTCCATCATCTTCTAACCTTATAGTGGTGGAGTTTGTCCCTTGGTTTGTGGTGTGGGTGGGTACTGGCTGGATTTGTGATCTGCTGAGTGTATGCTGGCATAGGCAGGACTGAAGTTCCATTATTTTGGGCCTTCCTCCATACACAGGCATTGTTTGGTGATGCTCTGTGCCGCTCTCCAGTCCAGCAATAGCAGAGGGAGCAGATGAGTGTCATGCAGGAACCATGGGCACCTTGTGCAGGGGCTTCACACCCGTGCAGTCTCGGCTATGGGGGCACCAGCCCGGCCCCAGCCTGCTCCCACCCTCTCCCTCTCTTCCCTGGCAGATCCACTCGGACTCGGATGAGGGGGACGGCTCCATCAAGTACACTATCTCCGGGGAGGGCGCAGGGACTATATTCCTCATCGATGAGATCACAGGTGACATCCATGCCACTGAGCGCCTGGACCGGGAGCAGAAAAC